CCAGCAGGGGCAGACAGCCTCCTCTGCCAGCACTTCCCGCTTTTATAGTCTGCTTGACCTTGGTCATCTCGCCCCTGAGTCCATTATCTCTGTGGTTGCATCTGTGGAGGAATCCTTTGTGATGTCAGCCTGTGCCAGAGGAGAGGGCCCAGGACTGCATTGTGTAATCAGCAGATACACACAGCACGACCACGCAATCTCTGTTCTTTTCAGTCAGCTGGAACATTGTGAAGATGTAGCCTGCTTTAGGAAATTATTTGCTGAATCTTGCCACTTCCTCATATTTTCTTAAAAGCATTTTAGCTTTCAATGTTCACATAGATTTTTTCATAAAGGTTTTATAGAGATTTTTAAACAAGCATATGGTCTTGTAGTTGCTGATTTTTTTTTTTTCCACTCAATCAGGGCTGCCCATAATTTTTTCAAACATCTGCTATCTTTCTTTTCCTGAGATATCTTGAAAATTGATCTCTTGGTACTTCTAAAAAAATTTATTTTATTCTGAGCGTAAGAAATAAAACACGCATTTCCACAACAAAGTGGGATAGAAAAATAGGATTGCACCTGAAATTGCAGATCCATTATTATGTACAACTTGCTATTCCTTTCAGATATACAACAGTTACCATGTGAGTTTATTTTTCTTATCACCCTCTCCCCAACTTTGAGATGGCTACTGTTAGACACAAATCTGTGTGTGTGTGTGTGTGTGTGTGTGTGTGTGTGTGTGTGTGTGTGCATGCACGCATATATATGTGTGTACATACATACACACACTTACATACACGTATATATGTCAGTTCTTTTTCTGGATTCAAACAGCATCTTCCTTCATAGGATCTTTGCAGTTAATTTGGGTATTTATAATAATCAGAATGACTTGGTTGTTCAAAGTTGTTTTTAAAACAGTACAGCTATTACTGTTACTGTTCTCTTGGTTCTGCTCATTTTACTCTTCATTATTTCATGGGGGTCTCCATGCTTTTTTTTTTTTTTTTGGCAAGGCAATGGGGTCAAGTGACTTTTCCAAGGTCACCCAGCTAGTAAATGTTATGTGTCTGAAGCCGGATTTGAACTCAGGTCCTCCTGAATCCAGGGCCGGTGCTCTGTCTACTGTGCCATCTAGCTGCCCCTTTCCCATGCTTTTCTAAAATCATTGAGCTCATCATTTCTTATACCAGAGTGATATTCTGTCATGAACATATAACCAGAGTTTGTTTAGCCACGGCATCCCCACACTTTCCACTTCTTTGCCACCCTCAGTGCTTTCAACATGCGGCCGCTTTCGTCCTCGACCTCCTCTGTGCAATTGGTCTGGTCTAACTGCCTTTCCTGACCACATCTTCTTAAGTAAAGGCCGGTTCAGATATCTGTATCCCTCAGAGACTGAGGTATTCCATTTCAAATGTAGTGGTTCCATTTTTATCGAGGATGAGAATTGATGACCAGAAAGAATGACCAATAGGACTTGTTTTTCCTCTGTTGCCCTCCTTTCAGGTTCATCTCTTATGCCACACTTGGCTTAATCCAAACTAACGTTTGATGTGGTATGTGTTTATATTCCCCTCTGCTGTCTTTTGCCTTTTGGTGAGCCGACATGGGCTCAGGTGCTTTTAGGGCCATGTGGCCCTCTTTGTTTTGGTGACAGCTTCGCAGTGGCTGAGGTGGTCATGAGAATTACTTACATTTATTCTCTCCCAATTTGTTTGAGTCTTGGTTTGAGTATTTGAGGTCGCCGCTGTGGCCGCTGTGTGCAGCATGGTTATTGCCTCTCTGTCCTTTTTTCTGATTTGGCGTGAACTGTCCGAACTGGACAGCATTTGTTAGCAGAACAAACCTGCCGCTTTTTCACAGATGGCAGTCTTACATGTTAAAGGGTTATTTGTAATCAGTCATTTCTGTTGTTTGTGACAGCTCTTTTTCAAAACCAAAACTTTAAAATATAAATTTCGATTGATAAGTGAGGTTGACAGGGCTCCAGGTGTATTGGCCTTTTCATCTGAAAGCCAATTCACATTTGTTAATGTATGTTAAAACTATATATTCAAGAGTGAAAGTAAGCATAATGTTATAAACTAAAGTCAAAGAGTTTTCGTTTCTTAGTATTAGGGGAACATTTCCCAGAAGTCAGGAGGTGATTAAAGAAGTAATTTCTTTCTTTTTTTGTTTTCTTTCTTTTTGGTGAGGCAATTGGGGTTAAGTGACTTGCCCAGGGTCACATAGCTAATGAGTGTCAAGTGCCTGAAGCTGGATTTAAACTCAGGTCCTCCTGACTCCAGGGCCAGTGCTCTATCCACGTCCCAAGAAGTAATTTCTAATCTAGAAATAGCCAAGATGATATTTCTTGATGTGACTTCTTGAAACATGTCCAGGTATGAGTTGGACTGGATGCGAGGTTCCTTCCAGCTTTCTCTGAAACATACAATCGGCATGCTGGCCTCCTTGAGAAATAAAAACACTAAAGCTACCATTAACATAACGGACCACAATATAGAATGTTTCTTAATTCCCTTACTACAGTAATTTCTAATATTATTTATAGGAAAAAAAATGCAGTTTGCCCTTCTTTGTAAGATTATTTAACTGGGTAATCGTGAAATCAGTAAAAACTATCTGCTTGAACCAAAGATGCCTGAGACGAGGCACAGGCACCTGTAGACGTCATTTCAGTGAATCATGAAATCAGTCATTATTGGGTGTCTTCATGTGCCTCGCACTGTGCTAGGTAGGTGCCTACTGAGATAAAATAGTGTCGGCTAAAGATTTTCTCTTACAACTTTTGTGTCTGATGTGCAGGTGACTGTAAATTAGGAAATCTTATTTCTGAAAATGTCTTCATTTTCTAAATTCAGCCCTGAAAATATCATTGAAAAAATAGTGTATTATTTTGAAGTGTGGCGTTGATTCAGTAAGCCCTTTTGGGAGGATTCTCTTCATTGAAACTTTTCTTCAGAAAATGGATTTTATTGCTGTGCTTCCTTAAGGCCTTGCCTTGCGTGGTGGGGTGAGCATTGGCGTGCACGCGTGTTTGTGTGTGTGGGTGTGTGTGTGGGTGTGTAGCATAGACCCCTCACAGAGGGCGGGGACCGTCCTCCATGGTATCCCAGCGGATCAGGGTCTGGAGAGGCCGAGGTCCTGAGGGGCCAGACCCGGTCACTCTTGTGAGGCTGGTTCTACTCGGAAGTGCACCCCCACAATTCCAGACTGCTCCTGTTCCAGCCCCAGCACAGCAGAACATAGAAACGTGTTCGCCAAGAGTATGGCTAAGTAAGAATTGGCCAGATGTTCCTCGTGTTCTTTCTCGGCCTGCACGTGCCTGCCCTGTAGGCGTTGGACTTGAGGCCTCCCTGGTGGGTACTTTTTACCACACAGGACGTGTTGGGTTGGGGGAAAGGGAGGGAGCAGAACAAAGAAACGCACTCTGTTTCTCAAATTCACATTAACAGCAACATTGGTGTCTCTGTGTTTCCCTCCTCCTTTCCCCTCCCCACCCCCGCTCCCGGTAAGTTTCTGTGTTTTTCTTTCATGGTGGTTATTCTTGGGTTCTGGCAAAGTACCTCTTCTGTGGAAAACCTTATCTGTGATTGTGCCACTTTTCACTTTCTTTCTCTCAATGGATATTAGAAGCATTAAACACATCTTAAATCTTTGAAAAGAAAGATGTTTTGAAGCGATGTTAGTATTTGGTAATACCACCGCAGTACTAACAGTCTTACTGCTTATCTGACATTAGGACTGTTTCGTAGTTTTTTTGGTGAGCTTACTGCCACCTAGAACCAAATTTATTGAGCACCCAAAATTTCACTGCTGAAAACAAAAAGCAGAAACAGTAAGTGAATACTTGTTTTATGGACCTAAGTACAAGCAGCGCTGGAGAAAGCCGAGAGATTACATGTTTGAGTTACCTCGTTTTGAATAGCTGACTAAAAGTTTGGACGTATAATCAGTAAAAAACAACCCATCTGCTTTAGATAAGAAAGATATTTGTAGTTGGGATAATGTTTTTAAGTGGCTTTTTCATGCATGCTGCATGTCCCATGTTGTACTTCTAGTGATATCCAGAATTCCTTAATTGTTAAGGAAATGAGCTATTTGTTTGTATATATTTTTTTTTTTTTGCAAATTTTTGTTTGTTTGTTTTTAAGTGAGGCCGTAGAAGGGTACATGCCAGTGTGGCAGGAATCAAAGAGAAATGTTCCTGAAACCTTTTGATGAAGATATTTAAACCTTCCTCAAAGGTTGACTCTAGCCAGCCCAGAGTAGGGGTTCTCGGGTCCAGCTCAGCTACATTCTTTATCATTTTATTAAATTGCTGTGTTAGTTTAGATAGCAAAATGCCGTCTGCAAGCATGTATTGATTGACCGTTCTTTGCTCATGTGATGAGAAGAACACCATTCTTTTAGGAGGCATTCTCTCCCTTTTGGTAAAGCAGGTCGATTTAGAACCTGGAAGTGCCCCAGAGATGAGTGCCCCCCGCTCCCCTGCCCCGCTGCTCCTCACAAGAGAGCGGCATCAGGTGGTGCGCAGCTCTCAGCACCTGACTGGGGGCTAGCGGTAGAATGTTTCATAAGACGACGTCGTGCAGAGCTGTTATGATCTCTGAATGTTAATGTTCTTTTCTTATCACTTTACTGTGTAGATACCCTTCATGAGACACATCTCTGCCACAACTCGTCCTCGGAGGCAGTCCTGGAGCCCTCTTTTATAAGGGTGACTTAAAATGTGGATAAAACTCTCAATAGAATACCTAAAGTAAAGGAGAACAGCTATCTTGACTTATCTTTCTATAAGCTAATCACGACCAAAAGTTGAGTTTGCTCGGCAGGTTTGCATAGAATGGAATTGATTGGTTTGTTTCTCACACTGACAAGGCGCTTAATTTGCCTGCTTTTTTTTTTTCCGCACTAATCAGAAACACTTGATAAAATGTCTTGTCAGAATTGTCCTATTAAGTAATGTCTTTTTCCTCTGTGCTTCCGTGGCAAATGATGATATACAGTGCTGGGACTCAGTGAAGAGGGACAGAATCTGTGGGACTTAAGTGCGGTGGCTGCTCCTCAGCGCTGTTACTGAACAAAGAAAGCCATGCTCTTCCTCTAGTCCGCTTCCCGTTTCATGCCGCCTAAGCCGTACGTTCCGATTTCAGACAACGTATTGTGGAGTCCTAGAGAAGCCTGTTCTGTGGAAGGATTGTTTCTCTTAACGATGCTCGTGCAGAGCCAGCTAGGGCTTTGCCTCTGGCAGCACTGGGCTGTCTCATTCTGAAGTCGCTGTCTTGTTATGGAAGCCAGATCCTGTGCCTATTAGCATGAATTACTCAGTGTTTACACTTCTGATTTAACCATGTGAACAAAAATATCTTCGTGTTGAGCAGTACTTGAAATTTGCCGTCTTTGATGTCTTCCCTGAGCTCGCTTTGTTCAGGCTGAAATTGTTTTCCCCAGACACACATAGTGAAAATATGAGATCACCGGAAGGGTCCTGAGCGGTCCAGCTGCACTGTGTGCCCGCTCAGATGTCTTCATCAGCGTCTGTGTCTTTCCAGGGAGATACAGGAATTACATTGCCATCTGCAAATTTGTTGATCCAAACTTAAAACCGACCACAGAAATGGTTTGAATCTTCTGTTACTGCAGCCTGAACTGACTTGGAAGAGGCTTTTTGCTGAAATACCTGTAAATGATAACATAATTCCTTGTGGAAACTCCTGATTTATAGTGGCGGTTTGGGTTGAAAATAAATTAAACTTAGGGGGAAAAAAACAGCAATAGAAATATTCTAGGTTATTGAGGGGAAAACGCAAATAAAAAGATACTGTATTCTGTATATTATAGCTATATCATAGTAGAAGACCATATGTTTGGCTAAGATGTTCAATAAAAGTAACGTGGTGTGTGTAAAATGGTATATAAATTGAGGTAATTAAATTATCAAAAGATATTTTACAACATATCTGGGAAAGATTAATATTCTGTGGCACAGCATTAAATAGTTCTGTTATATTGCATTAGAAATCAGATTTCCAGTTGTTGTCATAATGTAGGAGTAAGAAAAATTATAGTTTCTACAGTCTAACCAACTTGAGAAAAAATGACAAACATTTTACTAACGGAAAAATGCTAATGTGCTAGCAGCCTTGGCCCTCTATAATGTCTGCTTAGAAATTACTTATGGTCACTTTTTTTCTTTGTTGAAATCATTATGCCAAGTGACTTTTTGTGCCTCTGTGAATCAAAAGTGTTACCATGCTTCCATGAAAACACCTTGTAATCCTGAAGACTGAGAGGTGATCATCTTTTTGTGGGCAGATTTAAGTATCTTTTGTCTCACAGCATAAAATATCCACTCCATAATTCATGAGCTAGATTTTTGCAAAGGTGAGCTTGGAAGAGGGAGTACCGTGGAGGGAGGGAGATAAAACACTTCCCGTCCTTCCTAATGGCCTCTCCTCAAAACTCTCCAATTTTCCACACTATAAAATTGACCTTGTCCGTAATTGGCCCAACTGCTATTCTGAAGCGATATTAATTTGTGCTTAAACAATCTCCACTGCAGGCACTTTGGAGCTCCCCGGGCTGGATGTGGAATGATGTGCGTGTATTCATCACACCCGGGAGCGAAAGGGAAAAACTGAAGATGAACTCGGTCATTTTGAGACAGGAGAGAGCGGCATGAAATAGCTAGTTTTGTCTGTCCCACGTGAGGACAGCAGGTGATCCTCACTCCGTCATTATTCCTGCTCTCTCCACCAGACCCTAACCCTAACAACCTTTCCGTGACTTAGGAGATGACAGGCAGGTACCATGGGGCGCCCAGAGTCCATTACCTTCGGCATTTTCTGGGAATGAGCCTCCTATTCCATTTGTAGGTGGCATGACTTTCAAGGACCAGGTATTCCTCATGCCCGAAGGGGGGAAATGACCAACCAGTGTCCATAGATGGGTGGTTTGAATGGAAGAGTAGTGGTGGATAGATGGGTGGTTTGAATGGAAGAGTAGTGGTGGATGGGTAGGCCGATGAGGATGGGCTTACAGAAGGAAGCACCTGGAATAAAAATTCTGATATGTTTCTAGAAGGAAGAATTTTTTCATTTTCACAAGCATGAAATCCACTCCTCTTCCGTAAGCCTGGAACTCCCCCTTCAAAGCAGACCCTGACAGCTCCTGTTACTGAAGCTGCTCCAGTGACAGTTCATTGTCATGCATTTATAATCTAGAACCTCTCTGATAGCTAAGCTGGCTACTTCATTCATTGATTGCTCATTTTATGTGCTGTGTTTGAATGCATTTCTTATTACAGTCATAACATGTGCTAAGTGTCCATTCACATTGGTCACCCCACCGATAGTCACCCTTTGAACCTGCTTTCCCACCATGATGTGCTGAATACTTAATGTCCTTACTGAATAAAAAAAGTTAACTGGTTTACCATCATTGATCTAGTTTTTATTTGGATCGTATTTTGAGAATATTATTATCACAGACCCATTCAATAATATTCATAATTGCAGTTTTGCAGTTGTTTAAAAAACCAGTATAACTCTTTTCAAATGGTGTTTTATATTAGAAAGATTTTTTTCCAGTTTCTGAAGCTGCGTCTGAAAGCTGTTATTTAAAGATTAGATTATTAATGTTGTGTTTCAGCGACTCCGAGGTAATTACTTCGACAGCTTTAGATGGCTACTCCATCCTATAAATGTAGAATTGTTGAGGGGGAGGGAATTGTTCAGTGGTTTGTTTTTTGTTTTTTGTTTTTTCCAAATTTGGTGTTTGCTATTTTTTTGTTGTTGTTGTTTATTTAAAAAAAAAATACTCTGCCTGAGTCAGCTCTTTGTGAATGAATATGTGTGGTATTAACTGTGGTGACTTAGAACGTTTCTGTGGTGGGCATGTTTTGCATCTCTTATTCTTTTATGAAAATGCAGGCCTTTCCCCCTGTGCTCACTGCTAAGACTTTCTGGAGGCCAGCTGATAAGGATGCCTGCTGTGCCAGTCGAGGAGATATCATGAAATTGGACTCTCGTGCTGGGCTTTGTAAATAAAATGAGATTGACCTCCCCCAGCCATTATCTCATTTATCTGATTTACATTGTAAAATCAGGAGCTACACTATTGATTAGAGCATAATTAGTTAATTATGAAGAGAGAAATACAAAGTTCTGTGGGGTGTGAGCACAGCAGGATGTTCAGCCGACATATTTCCAAGGGCATGAGCAGATGGAGATGAGTTTGTTAAAGAACAAAGCGGCTGAGCTTCAGGTATGGAGATAGCTAATCAGCCTCTCTCCCTGGCTGCACCAAGGTCCTTGAGCTTAGACCATGGGTTTTTACATTACTATTTGCATTTGTATGACTTTTCTTTTACCATATAACCTGAGTCCTGCATATATGACATCATCATCATCCTCCCCTTTTATTCAGGAACTCCAAAGAAAATTTGTAGATGAGATAATTTATTTCCAATTAACATACTATTATACAAAATTATTTTTGTTTTCCTTCCAAAAATGATTATTCTTATTCAAAATTGTTTTGATCAAAATATGCGCAGGATTTAATGGAAACACTTAACACTTTAGTTATCAAAGATATTTTCTATATTTTGACATGTATAGAAAGAAAAATTATGTATTAATCTTAACATTAAATGCTATTTAAATTTTGGCAGGATGAAGAATTGTGTTCATCTACTGTGGTTTGGAAATATTTTAGCACATGTTAAGATGTTTGATTGGAATGACTGGCGATTCTGCAGGGATGGAATCCATTGCCTGCATTTTGAGAGGATTTTTTTGTTTGTTTACTTCTGTCTGGATTCCTTTTTAAACATTAAGATTAAACTTTTTCTTTATAAAAAATGTGATGAAATAGGCAAATTTGACCTATCAGTTCTGCTGTTGAGAAGAAAAGAAAAGAAAACAAAAGCAACCAACCAAACGTAGTGTTGAAGATCACAAGCCAGGCTGACAGTTCCGCATGAAGCCTGTTCCTCATTATGTGCCATCATAGACTTGGCAAGTGAGTCCAGTGGGACACTGACTTCCTGTGAAGGGGACCAGACTTCCCTAAATGGTGTACCCCTTTGGAAGTGAGGTCACTTGCCCATGCCAGGCTGCGTTTTTCTCTAATGCTGCCATTGTTCCTTGAATGTCATATGTACTAAAACACTTTAGGCCAAATGGATAGCAAAAATGCCGCAGAATGGGAACTGAAAGAGTTAATGCCATGCGTGGGGTCTCACCTCATGTATCAGCCAAGTCCCAAATAGAGCCACCGTGGATTTATTGCGTGTGAGGATGTGATGTGATGAGGAACATTTCAGGATCTCCTTTTTTTTTTTTTTAAAGGAATTCAATGGAAATTTACTACACAGCTTTATCATATGTGATCCAAAAGAAATGGTTCACTTTTAAATTTGAATTCTGTTTTTTGTCTTCTTTGTCGTCTCAGTATTTTAGCTATATTATGGACTAGTAGTCCTATTTGGTGATTATCTTTTGGTAAATGAAGACATGCAGAATCGGTCACATGGCCACTCCATGATTGTTTTTGAAACCCAAAAAGCCAACCTTACCTTTATCTCCCTTAAGGAATCGTATCTTAATGCGTGCATTCAGTAGGAATTTAATTAAATAATCAGGTCGCCTCTGTAATTAGACAAAGAAGTAGAATTCATATCTCATTTTGCAAGTAAAAAAGCAATATACTGTATTAATCTGTGTAGTCACAGTTTGATGCTGTAAGAACACTCCTTAAAAGTATAATAAACCTTTCACTTCCCAAATATTGTTTTATTCATCTTTAAAAAAAAATCAACTTCTTAATTTTGATCCTTAATAGTTTTAGCCTTGCATCACCTAATAAATATGTGGATTATGTGATGCCATGTGTTGGTAGTGGCATGTGATATTAATGGGCATATTGGTCTTTAATATATTTTTTTCAATCAGCATACTATTAATCATTATTAGACACAATTTCTAAAATATGCATTTAAACATTTAATACAATTAATTTTAAGCATAATAGAGAGGAAATGAAGAAAATTTTCATATTATGTGATGAGATTATTTATTTCAGCAATATGTGAAGTAAATGCCCCATTTGAAAAAAACCCCCTCAGTTACACTAGATCACTGCTCTTTTTCTCATTCTCCTTTTACCTGGTGGCTTTGTGCTAGATGATTCATTACAGAGAAGTACGTATTACATGCCTTCTGGAAGACTGTCTTTATTCATGCTCCAGCGAACAGGATTTTATAACCAAAACAAAACCTTTTTTTGTGGGTAGCCATGAGGGCGTTAATACAGACTGTTGGGCTCCCTGTTGGTAAGTAGAGTGGCGGGTGTGTAGGGCTGCTGATGGGGTCTCTGTTTTATGTCTTTGGTGTTCCTTTTTTCACAATTGGCCACAGAGTCATGGCCTTCCACATTGGGTGTTTCTGTTACCGGCATACAGAGCAGTGATTCTTCAGTGTTTGTTACCCGGTTTCCCAGAATAGGCTGCCCTAACCCTTCCACATGTAAATAGAGCTTCAGACACGGTCTAAGAAGCCCATAATTCCAACATTAGAAGGTACCTTAGAGGCGTCCTCGAGCAGCCGATACCTGAACAAGAATCTCCTCGACAGTGTTCCCAACCAGCAGGCCCAACCTTTGCTGAAAGACATCGAGTGAGGGAAGACCCGCCATTCTTTGAGGTAATCCATTCCACTCTCTTGACAGCTCTGATGGGAAGGACATTTTTCCCTAGTGGAAGCCTTCAGTCTTCCCCTGTGGAATTTCTGCCCACTGCTCCTGCTTCTGTCTCTGGGGCCAAGCAGATCCAATCCATGTTAGTCCTTCACCTACTTGAAGCCTGCTGTCCTAGATCCCCAGAGTCTTCTCCTCAGTCTCAGTAGCCCTGTTCCTCCAGGTGGTCCTCAGGTGCCCTCCTGTATCAGTAGTCTTAGGAAATTGTGGTGCCCCGAGTTGGATATGGTGCTTCAGAAGTGGCCTCACTGCAGCCAGAGACAGTCCAGAATCACCTTTTGTTTTCTAGAGACTGCCTTTCTTGGAAGAAAGCTTAAAGACTGCCTCTGCTTTAGGGGCCAGCCGGTCCCACCGCATTCTCCTCTTGAACTTGGTGGCCATTGACACCTGTCGATTACCCCAGATATTTCATATTGTCTGTAGATTAAAATATAACTATGTATAGAAATATTTATCTCTATACATATATGTGTACTTCTAGCTATATCTGCATGTCTGTCATTCATCCATCTCTCTCTCTCATCTATCTTTTCATTTGTCATCTTTTTAGCCATCCATCTATAATCATCTTTCTATCTATATCCATCCATTAATCTACCATTCATCTATCCTTCCTATCCATCCATCCATCCATCCATCCATCCATCCATCCATCTACCTATCCTATGTATCTCTATATTCCAGGAAGAGGCAGTGGGGATCATGGGGCAAACCCTTAACTTAACAGAGACATGAATTTGGGAGCTGTCTCTGATACTTCATGCCTGCTGGTGCAAGTCACAACCTCCCTGAGCCCCA